CCAGTGATCCCCAGTGACCTCCCAGTGCTCCCAGTAACCCCAGTGCCCACCTCAGGGCTTATCTAGAGACCCCAGTTACCCTTTCCCATCAGCCCCAGTATCCCACGGGTGATTTCAGTGGGCTCAGCACTCACCTCTGGGGTCCCAGTGGTGCCTCACCGCTCCCAGTGACCCCAGTGCCAAGCAGCGGGTGTCCATGACACCAGTAGCCACCCCAGAGTCTCAGTGAACCCAGTACTCCCCCCACACTGCTCACAGTTACCCCAGTACAGCCCTGGTACTATTCCCAGTCACTCCATTACCTACACAAGAGGAGATCCCAGTCACTCCATTACCTACACAAGAGGAGATCCCAGTCACCCCAGGACCTCCAGGCTGCTCCCAGTCACCCCAGTATTCACTCAGCTGGGTGTCCCCATGATGCCTGTAAGTCAGCCCAGAGTCCCAGTGATCCCAGTACTCCTCTCAAAGAGGTTCCCAGTGACCCCAGTACTGCTCATACTGGTCCCAGTCACCCCAGTACCTATTCAAAAGGGGGTCTCATTTGCCCCAGTGTCCCCACACTGCTTCCAGTGACACCAGTATTCACCCAAGGGGCGGGGTCCCACGACTCCAATAGCCACCCCAGAGTCCCAGTGACCCCAGTACTCCCTCCACACTGCTCCCAGTCCCCCCAGTACTGCCCATAACACCCTATTGCCCAGAAGGTCCCAGTTACCTCAGTACCCCCACATCACTCCCAGTGACCCCAGTACTCACCCAAGCAGGGGGGCCCCATGGCTTCAGTAGTCACCCCAGCATCCCAGTGACCCCAGTACACCCCCACTGGTTCCAGTGCCCACCAGCAACAGCACACCTGTACTGTCACCCCTGTAGTCTGACACACTCCATTTGGGTGCATACTGGGATACTGGGGTTACTGGGAGCAGCGTTGTGGTGCACTGGGGTCACTAGAACTCTGAGGTGACTACTGGCATCATTGGGACCCCTGCTTGGGTAGGTACTGGGGTCACTGGGAGCAGTGTGGAGGTACTGGAGTAACTGGGAGCTCCTCTTGTGTGGGTAATGGGGTGACTGGAACCATTATGGGCTGTACCGGGATTACTGGTAGCACTGTGGGGGGAGTACTGGAGTCACTGAGATTCTGGTGTGACTACTGGTGTCCTGGGGACCCCCTGCATGGGTGGGTACTGGGGTGACTGGGACTGTTATGGGCAGTGCTGGGCGACTGGGAGCAGTGTGGGGATACTGGGGTGACTGGGACCTCCCCTTGTGTAGGTACTGGGGTGACTGGGATCGTTATGAACCATCCTGGGATGGATGACTCACAGCGGTGTGGTGGTTCTGGGGGTGACTGGACTGTTATGGGCAGTACTGGGGTGACTGGGAATAATGTGGGGGTAATACTGGGATCACCGAGATTGTTATGGGCAGTACTGGGATCACTGGGAGCAGTGGGGGGGGGTAATACTGGAGTCACTGGGAGAAGTGTGGGGGCAGCACTGGTGTGACTTGGGACTGTCATGGGCAGCACTGGTGTGACGGGGAGTAGTGTGGGGGTGGTACTGTGGTCACTGGGAGAACTGTGGGGATATTGGGGTCACGGAGTGTTATGAGCAGCACTGGTGTGACTGGGAGCAGCATGAACAGCAGTGGTGTGACTGGGAGCAGCATGGGGGGACTGGCGTGACTGGGAGCAGTATGAACAGCAGTGGTGTGACTGGGAGCAGCATGGGGGGACTGGTGTGACTGGGAGCAGCATGAACAGCAGTGCTGTGACTGGGAGCAGCATGGGGGGACTGGCGTGACTGGGAGCAGTATGAACAGCAGTGGTGTGACTGGGAGCAGCATGGGGGGACTGGCGTGACTGGGACCATTACAGACAGCACTGGTGTGACTGGGAGCAGTATGGGGGTACTGGTGTGACTGGGAGCAGTATTGGGGTACTGGTGTGACTGGGAGCAGTATAGACAGCACTGGTGTTACTGGGAGCAGTATGGACAGCACTGGTGTGACTGGGAGCAGTATGGGGGTACTGGTGTGACTGGGACCGTCATGGACAGCACTGGTGTGACTGGGAGCAG